AGTAAATATTCATGAAGAAAGTCTTATAATCTTCATTATGGTTGTTCTTGGTACAGAACATGGATCTTGATGAGTTGTATGCATCAGGCATGAAATGCTATAATCTTCGCTACCGATTTGGAACAAGGAGGTTTCTGCGCATGCGCAGGGTGTCTTTGATTATGTCTGGGTGGGTGGGCGGAGCCTCCCGCCATCACCATTATTGGTTCACCCAAACCGGGGCGAACCAGCAGAATACCATCTCTAGTATGCATAGTCCAAATAACCATTTGTTTAGCCAATTTTGGGGACAAAAGAAAAGATGAAGAATGTATTTTAATTCTAGAGCAACTTTACCATTTCAGATAAAAATAATAAGTCTCTTCACTTGTTTTCATTGCAGAATGTTGTCTCTAAATATGGTGCACAGTTCCGTGGAAATGCACAACATGATGCTCTGGAGTTCCTTCTGTGGTTGTTGGACCGCATGCATGAAGACCTGTGTTCTGTTTCTTTTAATCAAAAACTAAAGCTGTCTGGAAAGGTCAGTGATTGGCAGAGAAAGTTATTGTGTTACCCTGAAAGCTCACTAAACCTATTGCTAATATATTGTTTCAGGCAAGATAGAACCCAAATGATAAAAAAAATGTGAATGAAATTTGCTTAACTCTTTGTCAATCAGTGGAGTATGGCAACATGACATTTATAACCAAGGGGGACTTCCAATATCAGCCCATTCCCTTTGTCGTAGTAAACTTTACCTCCATGGAAAAAGTTATCCAATAGGAATAATATTTTCTGCTATGTAACCAAAGCATTGATGATCTAAAAATGGAATCTTGGTTATTGTTTCCAATTAATTATTTAGAACCAGAGCAGACATCCTAATACTCTCCAGGTATTTGGATTGCTGTCTCTATAGAACACTGTTAACAGATTATAGATGCTGTCATCCACAATCTTTGCAATGTAGCATGTTAAGTTTTGCCACAGTAGCTTAAAGCCTCAGAGAGGCTTGTTCCGAGGCATAAATTCCACATTTCTTAATGCTATTATTGTTCCACCCTCTGATTGAGGTATTATACTCGGACTTGAGGCTTAAGTCTACCTCCAGCCGTGTGAACCTACAGGAGTAAGCCATTCTGTCTCTGCACAGCCTATAGTAACTCACAGGTTGGTATATGGGAACCAATGAAGGGCAATCTCCCTCTAAGCCTCCTTATAACATAACATCACAATGACAAAAATAATAGTGGAAAAATTCAATATCTATCTAATTGATGTATTAGCAACTCAGTGCCTTGACAAGAAGCCTGAGGTAAGAAAGCACCAGCTGTCTGAGATGGGACATCCGCCTTCAAATTGAATCAGTATTTTCATGGTTTGAGATCAGAATTTTTNGCTGCCTAAAGTTATAAGAGATCAGTGCAAGTTTTTGAATTTCAAGAGCTCCTTATCAAACCAAAAGGAAAAAAAAATGTAGATAACCTTTGAATCTCTTCTGAAGCAGCTTATGGTGTTAGCTAGAACGATGAACAATCTTCAAATACAGTGCACATGCATACTTATATGTATATGCCAGTGATGGCTAACCTTTTTTGGATCGCATGCCAAAAGCGGGAGGAGCGCAGGGAGGTTGTATGCAGGCATGCCCACACCCATAATGCCTTGCGCGCAACTCCCCTGTGCACAGCCAGCGACCCCCGCTCTGCTTTTGGAGCACTTTTTTCGTCTTTCCCAGGCTCCAGAGCCTTTCTAGGAGCCTGGGGATGGTGAAAACAGCCCCCTCCCCGAGACCCTCCGGAGGCTTCAGGAGTGCAAAAATCCAGCCCTATGGCCAAACTGGAAGTTCAGGAATAGACTTCCAGTTTGCTCGTAGGGCTGTTTTTTGCCCCCCGAAGCCTTTAGGAGGCTTCTCTGAAGGCTCCGGGGGGCAAAAAATGGCCCTATGGCCAAACCAGAAGTTTTGCCCGTAGTGCTGGTTTTTCAAGCTTTGGAGATTTAAGGAAGCCTCTGGAAGGTGAAAACACCCTTAAAAGAAGGCTGAAGTCAGCTGACCAGCGTGTGCATGTGCGCTGGAGCTGATAGGTCTAGATTTCCTTGCATGCCCTAACAAATGGCTCCATGTGCCACCTACAGCACACATGCCATAGGTTCACCATCACAGGTATATGCATTCATTTTTATCATGCTCACGTTACTGATAAGTCAGTGCAAGTTCTGTCCAAACTGCCGAAAGCAAACCTTCAAATTCTCCATTTTCTTTTCACAATCTCTCTCTCTCTGCCTTGTTTCTGTATTTGCAGATTCTTGGCAGGCCCATCTCAGCATCCTACATGCTGCAGTTAAATGAGCGTACAGAATTTAAGGAACAATAGAACATGTGGGAGGAGGTTGGTATATGGAGGAGTGGGGAGATGACAGAATATATCTTTAGTATTTTATTTGGGAGATACATTCTTGAGGAATGGAAATGCTTCAGTGTATAAAGAAATGCTGGAAAATCTCAGAGGATGGGAAGCTAAGAACTGCCTCCAAACCTCTATTCTGTTTGTGTATGGCCAGAGCACCTGTTTGAAAAAAAGAACATGGGGCGAAGATAATCCTTCTGCCACCTTCTTAGATGGCTTGGACTGGATGTATTAGGACAGTGTTTCTCAACCTTGTCAACTTGAAGATGTCTGGACTTCAACTCCCAGCATTTCTTTAGCCAGCATCGCTGGCTGGGGGATGCTGGGAGGTGGAGTCCAGAACGCTGC